ATCGCCATCATCGTCCCTATCGTCATGTACTCGGGGTGACAAAAAATGATTGAACGGCTCTCCGGATGTCGGTCCGAGTTCCCACGGTAGGACGCCAGTACACTTCACTTCGTGCGGCCTACGTAGGCTCCACCGGAGCCCTCCCTGCGTATGGGTTTCGATTTGGAGCATACTCGTAGTGAGAGAGCTGCACGACCGCAGGCTTCCACGCGCGGTGTTCAATCATTTTCTGTCACCCCGAGTACGTCTTCGTACTCCCCAGGGCTGTCGTGGTAGGCACCTCCATCCGGATCGTTTCCGGCTTCCTCGTACACGACCTCCACGAAGCCAGAGCAAGCGACCTGGACGTCCGCATCGTGAGAGGATGAATGGGAAGATGAATCCGCGGCACCGCCGGAGGACGCTGCTGGGGTCGAATCGTCGTCCGAGTCGTAGGAGTACCTTGCGGTGTCACGGTAGTTCCATGACGTGTTCCCGGCCGTTGAAGACGCAGAGTAGTTCGAAGACGGCGCTGTACTTTGTGCATAGGCATATCCGGAGTAATACGTTGGGCTGGATGCGCTTCTAGAGGCGTAGCTCCCCGCCGAGGTAGGCCCATGGGAGTGGTAATCATGGCCGTTATAGCTAGATCCAGCATAGTTGTCGTATCCTGACGAGGGAGTGTAGGTTGGCTGATTCTGTGTTGATGGGTATTCCCTTCCATAGGTACTCCTGGAGTCCACAGATGAGCGTCTGGCCGAACGAGGCGTTGACGACTGGTGTCGTTCCATCTCCCAAGCTGCTCGATCTGCATCACGGTAGCTCTCTCTGATAGCTCTGCCCTCTTGCGCGTCGCCATAGTCCCAAGTCCTCAAACCGTGCGAGTGCATGTAGTTCGGCCAGCCTCCGTACGAGCGATAGTAAGAGTTGGTCGAAGGTTTCGTCCATTCGCGTGAGCTCTGTGCGGCGTTGGCATGCTCGGCCTGGCGAGAAACTGCACGATGTGACGAGTTGTAGAGGGGTTGTATTGGCGCAGACGTTCTTCCACCAGCTCTGCTAGACGTATTCGTCTGCCGCGAGGATGGAACGGGCGCGTTTGAGGCAAGACTCAAGCGGCCTGAGCTCGAAGGCTGCGAGGATCGCTGACGCTGCTGAGAGCCATACTGTGTATACGGGCGCATGAGTTCTTGCTGAGGCTGCTCGAAGGGCCTCTCGACGAAGGATGTCGCTGAGGAGGAAGGGCAGCCGATGGAGATTAGAATTTAAGCTCGGCCCTTGTCGTCGTCGGCCCGCGTCTGTGCCCACCTTTTTCATGTCCGATCGCTTAGCTGATCAAAGACCTGTCGCCCTGGAGCTCATCGGCCAAAGTTGTAGAAGCTATATCTAGTCAATGTTATTGCACCACCGTACCGTACTCGCGAGTGGCATGAGCGCCAGAGGCAAACTGCGAACTACACAACCTTACGCGATCACGCGGATGTCACGATGCTCATTGTTCCGAAATGAACCCACACCCCGTGGCACAGCGTAGAACGCGTTACATTTAGCTCTCAGACGCGTCCACAGCGCGTCGTCTTCCACACCCACCAGCACAACTCTAACTAAGATACCTGACTCTCGCTCTCGCGCACGCGAACCATCTCATTGCCGCCACCTTCGCCCCCTCTAAACCCCGTTGCATCATGGCGAGCGCAGAACCTGCATGGCCAAAATATATTGGCAACTACTTGCTTGGGAGGAAGCTGGGATCGGGCGTATCGGGTGCGTACATCACGCTGGATACTGCGATACTAGGAGGCTAAATGTGATTTAGGCTCGACTTTCCAAGCGACTCACGTCCACACTGGCATGGTGGTCGCGTTGAAACTTCAACCACTCAGCATCTCCTACGCGACCAATGACTACGAACGCGCCGTATATCCTCTCATACAGGGTGGAGAGGGTATGCCTACGCTGTGGGCTCATGGACGCATCGGTCAATGGTACGTCTGTACCATAACGACTGCGAAACGGTTCTCATCCGGCGTAGGGACTACCTCGCGATGGACTTGCTCGGCGCCAGTCTGCAGGGACTATTTCGTGAGGCTAACGCGGAGACTATGGATATGCGCAGTGTACTTTCTATGGCAGTTCAAATTGTACGTCGACCTCCTGTCACCCAACACGGACATTGGCGCTTAACGCGTAATGACAGATTACGCGCTTGGAGTTCATGCATTCGCGCGGTATTCTGCATCGGGACGTCCAGCTAGGCAATACTGTTCTCGGACTACCGCCAAACCAGACGCTCTTGTATATGATCGACTTCGGGTTCTCCGAGAAGTACGTGAACAGCAAGGGCAAACACATCCGCAACCGCCAACAACCGGACTTTATCGGCAACTACTGGTTCTCGAGCGTCAACGTGCATTGTCGCGGGAAGAGTGCGTGGGCCGCGATCTTATATCTACGCTGCATTTTGGTCTAACGGGATGTCTACAGCAACATCACGACGAGACGATCTGGAATCTCTCGCACTCGTGCTTATCCACATCCTAACACCGGGCGGTCTTCCATGGACGCGAAACGGCGTACCACGCGACGACGCCGAACACGACCGTTTGAAACGTTGCAAGCGCGACTCTCGGCCAGAAGACCTGTGCGACGGCCTGCCCGAGGAGTTCGCCGCGTTCTTGCACTACTGCCGCGGACTCCAATTCGCCGCACAGCCGGACTATGCGCGCTGGCGTGAACGTTTCCTAGAGCTGGGCAAACAGCTGGGGTATGGCGACGTGCGGCCGTTCATCTGGCCACCGCCGCCAGTCAAGAACGTGCGTTCTAATCGAAACATCCCAAGGATCCGCGATGGGAAGGCTGACGTGTTCTTCTATAGAACCCGACTGTACAGGTCAAGCGCACGCACACGCCGGTACCGAATGGCGAGATGGAGCAAATCCTGCAAGGCCTCGCGCAGATGAACCTGCAGGCATCGGTCAACGCTCCGATAGAGCCGACACCAGCGCCAGCGCCTGCACCAGCGCCAACTCCAGTCGCGGCCCCAGTACCTCCTCCCGCCGCTGTACCCGCGCCTGCACCACCGCCTGCCCAAGCAGATGCCACACCTCCCGCTCAACCCCAACCCGGCCGCCCCATCCTCGGCCAGAAAGATCTCAATGCAGCCTCGCAGCGGCCACCAGGACGATCCGCAGCGAAGAAGGCGCGCGAGGTGATAGAGATCAGCAGCGACTCGTCGACCGAAGTGCCCCTTCCGGCCGGCCGCAACACGAAAGCTGCACGCCTCATGCGACTCACGAGGCAATGCGAACTGTCCGTGGACAACAGACAGCTGGCTGGGCTCGTGCGCGAGTTCCTGGCGATACTCGGCACGGGTACCAGTCGGACGCTTACGAAGGAGGGCTTCTCGTTCTTGGACGCTCTGTACAAACAGCTCGCGGATCCGAGCATCTTCATCGTGCCGTTGCGCACGTCTCAGAGGAGGTCTGCGCGTGCGCCGGCGCCGGCTCGACAGGAAGTCACGAATGAGGAAAGACGGAGTCGGATGTCGAATTTGAGGGCGAGCGTGCCGTTCGCGTTGAGCAATAGACAGCTCGCGAGGCTCGTGGCGGACTTTGGCACGCTTACGGATAAGGCGGGGAAGAAGCTCTCAAAGGACTCGTTTGTGTTCTTGGAGGGTGTCGGCTCACGGCTCGAGGCGTTAAGCGGGGCAACATAGCGCAGCGCGCTTGAGTCGCACAGTCGCCGACTCGCCGACGCGGGGGCGGGCCGCGGCTTGTCGCTGTGGCGCGCGCTTCGGTTTGTCTTCGAAGTGGTGGCGCATCATCCCATCTCATCGCGACGTTGGAGCCAATGGAGTCCCGCCCATCTTCAACGCTCCGCTGCGCAGGTTTCACGCGTTTCTTGCATCTCGGCCTCTCGAGGAGGCCAAATGGACAATACTCCGCATTTCCGCATTATCTACATCCCCATCTGTGCTCGCGCAACTTCCTGTACTACTATATTGTTTTGTGAATCCACGCGCCAATGCTAGCTACGTCTAGACAAGACCGAGAGCGAGACAAGCCTTTCTCGGCCATCGTTCGGTGGGGTAAATAGGCACGGAAACTTCCGGGCGAGCCCCAACAACTTCATAAAGCAATTAGCGCGCGTTTCTTTCCTCTTCTCCCAGGTCTCTCCTCCTTGCTCGACGACCCTTTCCCCGCGTTCGAGTTTGAGTGACTTGTGGAAGCTTGTCGATCCTTTTCTCGCTTCCCTAGACTTCTCCTTCGTTTGAGAGACTTGGACTACTTGGCTGTCCTTCCTTTGTATACAACATGAAGACCACAACAAAAGATGGTTTCGTCTCGGTCGTCGAGCAGACGCCGGTCGTTATCCCGGACCTGACGGTCAAGGATCTGCTATCGGCCATCCCGTGCGTATACGCGTCTCTATCCAGGATAGGGATATAGCTGACGTTTGGACAGTGCACACTGCTTCAAGCGGTCTGCGTTCTACTCGTCGCTGTACATGTACGCGCCACGTTGCAATTGCTCGCGCTCTCATTGGTTCTGACCCCGTGCGCAGTGTGATGGACGCCGTGATCATCGGTGCGGTCTACAAGGCGACCGTCTTTGCCGAGCAGTTCATCTCTCCCGAACACATCGCACTACCCCACCCCGCTCTCTACACCGCCGCGTGGGTCGCTCTCTGGGCCCTTTACGGCTTCTGCGTCGGCCTCCCGGCAACCGGTCTCTGGGTCATCGCGCACGAGTGCGGTCACCAGGCATTCTCCGAGTCGAAGAGCATCAACAACGCCGTCGGCTGGGTCCTGCATTCAGCGTACGTTTTCCCTATGTTGATCAACCATCGTGGCGCGCTTCTTCTAACTTCGCGCCTTTCCAGACTCGGCGTGCCCTACCATTCCTGGCGCATTTCACATGCCAAGCATCATGCTTCTACTGGCCACATGACCCAGGATCAGGTCTTCGTCCCGCCCACCCGCTCCCAGATCGGTCTGCCGCCTCTCAACCCCGATGCCGAGGACCTTCAGGGCTCGCGCGTCTCGGTTGAGATCATGAACGAGTTCAAGGAGGCCATCAACGACACCCCCATCGCGACGACCATCGGCTTCTTCTCTTACCTCGTGCGTTTCTCATGGTCTCGCTGAAACATCATCTTTATTCATCCTTGTTCGCATGTTTGACAGATCGCCGGCTGGTGGCTCTATCTTATCCGTAACGCTTCCGGTCAGAAGCGCTACCCCAAGGGCACGAACCGTCAGTACCTTCTTGCTTCTCTCGTACCGCCGGGGCTATCGTTCATAATTCCTTACTTCCGCAGACTTCAACCCGTCGTCCGTGATCTACCGTCCCGACCAGGCTGGCCAGATCGTCTGGTCTGACCTCGGTATCATCTTTTGGATCGCCGGCGTTGTCGGTGCGGCTATGCACTTTGGCTTCTTCACGATGCTGCGCGTCTACTTCATCCCCTACCTCTGGTAAGCCCGATCAAGTGGTGCCACTTTTCAATACAGTTTTCTAATCACAGGCGCCTATGCAGGGTCAACCACTGGCTCGTGCTCATCACGTTCCTCCAGCACACCGACCCTCTCCTCCCGCACTACCGCGCGCCCGAGTTCACCTTCCCGCGTGGAGCACTCGCTACGATGGACCGCAAGCTCCTCGGCGAGCTCGGTCCTATCGGTGCATGGTTCGGTGCGCGCCTCACACACGGTATCTCCGAGACCCATGTCGCGCACCACGTCGCCAGCAAGATCCCGCATTATCACGCGTGGGAGGCGACGTACGCTCTCCGCCGCCGTCTCGAGCAGGCCGGTATCCACCTCCAGGGTGCACCGGGCGGCTGGGGCGAGATGTATCGCGTGTTCAAGGAGTGCCGTTTCGTCGAGGACGAGGGCGACATCTTGTTCTTCAAGAACGCCAAGGGTCTCGCTGCGTCGCGTCCTCTGGTCAAGGACAACACGGCGAGCGACTCGGGTATCGAGATCGATAACTGAGTGTGTTCTTGAGAGGAGGTGGATTTGACGCATATAATCAGTAGTAAAACACTTGCATTGTTACGATAGACCTTTAGTGCGCCTAGGAGTGCGGCGGCGCGCGAGCCGGGGTGTTCGTGCGTTTGGATCGCCGCGCGTGCGCGGATTTCTTGTTCCATACTTACCTCGCCTGTGACCTACATACATAGAGAGTGGGTTGCTAATCGAGCTGTTGTTTCCTCTGAACTTTGTTTGCGGCGTGTGAATACTTGGCGAATACAAAGTGTCGCAGAACAAAGGGCGAGATGCCTTGTTCAGGTAGTTGGGTGCATGGCAAGTGCCGAGCGCCTGTACAAGCGCTGTGCGCCACCCGGTTTGCGTGTTGTTCTTGAACCACGACGTCCATGCCCTGCTCTGTGCTGTCTTTCTAAGTATACCCTAATCACGACTCCGCCGCTCACTGTCGGAGAATCACAATCATGAACTCGCCGCCGTCGCGGTCAAGCCGCAGCGGCAAGGCTGCCTGGACATTCATATTCGTACTGGCAGCCTCTATAGTCTCCCTCTCAGTCTTTGCTGGCCTCCGCTATGACTTGTCTCGCAGCTCTGACGTCAGCTTCATCATCTCCCCATGGGGCATAGAAGCGCCCGTTTTGCCGTACGTATGACAGTTGCATTCCCTTTGTCCTAGCTCTTGACCCCAAGTGGCTTGTTATAGACTTGTGTTGCAGAGCTCGGCGGCGCACGTTGCTGGGCTGGTCTGGCCTGTGGAGAAAGATGTCACGCTTTTGACGCAGAGGCTTGGAGGCGTTGCTATCACAGATATTCAGGGAACTAGCTTTCTTTCGCCATATGCTGGTCAGACTCTTGAGAACATCGTTGGGACTGTCACCGCGAAGGTATAGCATCCCATCCACAGAGATACGGCCTCGTACTGAATGCATCGTACCTGTAGGACAAATATAGCTTTTGGCTGATGGGTCCGGCATCCAACGACACCCGCCGTTCGCCAGGCATCCGCGTATATGCTCCTGGTTCAGGCGCGCTCCACGCACTTCAAGCGGGCGATGTCATCTCTCTCACTGCACACGTCGCTGAGTTCCGCTCGCGCAGCAAGCAGGTCAATCTCTATTCCACGCAGCTGCAGTCCCCGACCGACTTACGCGTTCATGCGCGAGGCAATACCGTCGAGCCTATAGTCCTGGGCCTGGATCGCTCGCCGCCGACGCAACTTCTTAGTCCGTTGGACGAAGGAAAGGATGGCTGGCTCAGCGTCCCAAACAACGTCTCATCCATAGACGCTACGGACGACGAGCTCCGCCCAGATGAGTTCGGGCTGGACTTCTGGGAGAGCCTGGAAGGGTCACTCGTACGCGTTCGTGCACCAGTCGCGCTTGGGTTCAACAACCGTTTCGGCGACTTCTGGGTCCGCGGAGCGTGGAACGTTACTGGGCTCAACGAACGTGGTGGGCTGTCCATTACGCTTGGGCCGGATGGATTGCCGGATGGGAATCCTGAGGCCGTTATGATCTCGAGGCCGCTGGATGGAACGAGAAATCCGAAGGTTATGATTGGCGCGGTACTGGAGGAGTTTGAGGGTATTGTGGACTATCAGTGAGTCTTTTCGTGGTTGACGGGAAGAAGGCGTTGACCACTGAGGATGAATGTTAGACACGGGTACTTCAACATCTTGCCAACGACCACGCCTAAGGTCGCAGCAAAGCCTGACCTAACCGTGCCGCCTACAACAATCAAAGCGCTCGTGGACGACACATGCGCGATACGATTCGGTGATTACAATGTACGTGCGCTCGACAGTCATGATGTTCTGTAGCTGATTAGTTCATTCGCAGATCGAGAATATGGGCCCGCGCTCTCACCACCTGCCCGTTGTCGCCGGACATATCGCAAACCACCTACTCCACCCCGATATCATGTTCCTCCAAGAAGTCCAAGACAACTCTGCGAAGAAAGACGACGGCACGACCAGTGCCAATCTCACGCTTTCGAGGCTGGCGAAAGCCGTCTACGAAGCTTCTGGAGAACTGTATAACTTCACAAACATCGACCCTCTTGATAAGCAGGATGGTGGGCAGCCTGGTGGGAACATTCGTACGGCTTACTTGTGAGGATGTCTTGTTGGATTAGTCGGTGTCGAATGCTCACCAATGATGTAGGTACAACCCGACCAAAGTTGCGCTTGTCCCCGGTTCACCGGCGGGCATGGCTGAAGACGCGACTGTACCCTCACTCGTGGACGGCAAGCTATCGCTGAGGTAAGTACATGACGGGAAGCGTGTCATATATGCGTCACGGTGCTCAATCATTTGCCAGCTTCAATCCAGGCCGCATAGACCCTACTAACGACGCATGGTTTGAGACGCGCAAACCATTGGTAGCTCACTGGATCACTCCTGAAGGCGCGAGCTTCTTCACTATCAACCACCACGGGAAGTCGAAAGGAGGAAGCTCCAGCACGCAGGGCGATGCTCGTCCGCCCATCAACGCTGGCATCGAGCGCCGCACAGCACAGGTGCAGGTCATTGCTGTACGTGTCTTTCCCGTCTACACCCTTCGCTGTTCTCATGTGTCTGCCTTACAGGACTTCATCGCTTCCATCCTCGCGCTGGACCCATCCGCATCGATCATCTTAGCAGGCGACTTCAACGAATACACCCAAACACACTCTGTGGTCGCATCGCTTGAAGGCCTCATGCACGACGCCGACGCCACAGCAGGCATGCCCGAATCTGAACGATACACGTACGTTTTCGACCAGAACTGCCAGCAGATCGACCACATATATGTGAGCGATGCTATTGCTGGACGTGGAGTGCGCGCGGAACATGTTCATGTTAATAATTGGGCGGAGAGTTTGAGTGCACGGGCGAGTGATCATGATCCGAGTGTGGGGATGGTGAGGGTTTGTTAGAGATTGGAATTGGACTTTGGACTTTTGGACTGTATGAATTCAAGATTGTATTATAGCTCACGCATTGCCCGAACTTTACATATACACTGTCTCTCTTGTCAACTTGTGGTATGGGGGCTAGACACGGCCAATGGCGCACAGGCTGCGCGAACGGCGAGACGCGTCGCGAAACTCTTTCCTTGAAGATCGGGCACATTCATGGTCAAAGCAATCTAGGATATGACTTGTAGTCTAGGCCTGTTCTCTCGTTAGGTTCAAAGACATTACACGGGACAGTAAAGACGTTCGTGCGTAGTCGCCGACATGAGAGTCAGGAGCAGATGCCGAACGCCCAACCTCTCGCGCTGTCGGCCCGGACTAAACGCGCTCACGCGACTTGACTCCTACCACCATGGACGATTTCGATGCACTACCCCAGAGTACTCGCGAAAAGATAGACCGTGCATTTGACCGAGCTAGCTCATACTACAAGTCTCTACGCTCTTCAGAGCCGTCTGCATCTGCCGGTGGTTTCATAGTTGATGACGCCCCTGCTCCCGGCGGATTCCTGTTAGACGATGCCCCCGGCGGCTTCCTTCCACCATCGCCACCTGCCGGTGGATTTCTACCTCCATCACCTCCTGCTGGCGGATTTCTTCCGCCATCTCCTCCCGCAGGAGGTTTCTTACCCCCTCCATCATCTTCACGAGCAAACGGCGCGCGGTCTCTTGAGGACGTGATCACGCTCTCGGAGATCGCACACGCCCTGCAAATTCTTGACTTGCCTCCCGACGACGATGAAGTGCTGTCGGTTTTCAGAAATGCGGCTACAGGATGGGGTGCACGGTCGAGAGACGTCGATGCAGGAGAACAGGAACAGACGGTCACGCGAAAGGATTGGCGCGCGGTGTGTAGCGCTCTCCTAGGAGGGGGCGAAGACGATGATGACGACGAGGATATCCAAGTCGAAGAATCGCAAGAAGCTGCAGAAGCGATAGAGGACGAAGACGTGCCCATGGAGGTAGCAGAGTCTGAGGGCGACGCCTCGTCTGACGAATACGTCGAAGAGGCCCCACAGCCAAAACGCAAGCGCGGTGCTGCATCGAAGACTCCAGCCCGCAAGACACGAAAGAAGAAGATTGAGCTGGCCGACTCTGATGACGACGAGAATCCGCTCAATCGACCACTCACGGCACGGCAGAAACGCGAGTGCTTGCATGCGTTCTCTCTTTTCTTTCCTGGTATCGAGGAAGACGCGGTCAAGCGACGGCGTATCGGCATCAAGGAGCTCACTCAAGCGTCCGATCTACTGAAGGAGAAGACGAATGTAGAAGAGGTGCGGTATCTTTTGGGTTCTTAGGTACACACAATCCCTGACGAGGGAAATAGATGGTCGAGATGCTAGAGGCTTTCTCAAGCACTCCTGACAAGACTATGGGTCTGGCTGACTTCGAGAAGATGATGGTTACAACTCGTATGGTATAGAGGTAGCGGCGAACGGGGGTCACTGCAGCATGTCAATCACTGTACACTAACCAAATCATGGTATCACTTACCCCATCATTCGCGCTTCCTTCCCTGCTCGATGTCCCACTCGTGCTCGAGGATAGAGAGGGTGATCATTCCTCGCCACTTCCCACCAACCCAGTTGGCTTCTCGCGAGATACCCTCTTCAACGAAACCGCTATACGTTCATAGCGTTAGCACATGCACTCTCTGTGTACATTGTGTCACTTACACGCTTTTATACAACGCTAGTGCCGCTGTGTTGTGCTCGACTGTACCCAGAGTGATGCGATGTAAACCGCAATCCCTGAATCCATGCTGCACTACCCAAGTCAGGATCTCCTTTCCGTACCCCTTTCCTCTGTACGCATCGACCACCGAGATACCGATCTCGCCCACACGGTTCTTCTTCGAAGGCATAGTGAAGCTGAACTGTCCGATGAATTGGCCGTTGTCCTTGTTTGTGACCATGATGAATATGCCATCGTTGGCTTGTATATGCTCTGCGCTCTTCTCGACGAATTTCTTCGTGCGGGGGGCTGCGCAGTCGATGAACGCGAGATCTTGGATCTCGAGTGAGTTCCAGTGCTCGTATATCTTCTCGGCGTCGGAAGGCTCGTAGGCGCGGAGAATGGTGCGTTCTGTTTCGAAGGTCATGTTGGGTGCGGGGTGTGGCCTCTATAGCGCCCTACAATGCGTCGGCTTATATCAATCCGTTGACTCGGTACCGGCGCCTGCATCGTTGACTGAGTCAATGAGGATCTGGGCTTGGCCTCTAATGAACATTGGCGCCGTCTCGATAGAGCTTCTTATTCCGCAAGTCTACCGTGGCGTACTGACATCATGTTCAGTTTTACGCGCGGATAATCTCGGATTATAATATGCAATGCCGCAATACATAGAGCGTCAGAACTCCAGTCTACAATTCCTTCCGTGATCCCACTCATTCTCTAGAATGCTCATGAGATCGATGGCCTGCCATCGCTTCTGCACGAATCTGCGTTCCGTGGACGTTCGCTCGTGAATGAAGCCACTAGACAACGAATTAGCACTTGTGATTCACATTTGTAGGTTGGAAATGCTCTCACATCTTCCTATACAAGCCAATAGCCTTCGCATTCCCCTCGAAAACATGCAGGTATATCCTATACAACTGCAGTTCTCGAAAGCCGAATCCCACGAGCCAGCGCAGGACCTCGGTCCCATATCCCCTCCCCGAGTACTCCGGCGCAAGCGTCATCCCCAACGATGCTTGGTCACTTCCGATGTCTCGCCGCAGCAGACCGACTTGTCCAATGCACTCGCCCGTCTTCTTGTGTTCGATGATAGCGAAGAACGATGGTGCGTCGAGCCACGCCAGTACGGTAGCCACGACAAAATCTCGCGTCATCGGTCCCGCGACGGTGCTGAAGCACAACTCGCAGACTTCTGGATCGCTCCAGATCTCGTATAGGCGGTCTACATCGTCGGGGGTGTATGCGCGCAGGATAAGGCGGTCTGTCTGGAAGAGCATGGAGACCGAGCAGGGGAGGGTGGCCGGATTAAGTTGATGAACTGATGACAAGGGCGTGCAGTGTTGGTGCAGTGCGTAGAGTCGGAGTATGCAGGGCAAGCGTATATATGAATCCGTAGACGCGCAGCGTACGTCGCAGCTATGTCAACTCGGTAACCTGCTCCTGACCGACTGTGCCGAGGAAGTTACGCGTCGATATTCACGTCTTGAAACAAGTGCACCTCCGGATCTCCCGCCAGGTTTTGCGCTGCGGCGCAGTGACGTCCAGTTGGACCTCGTAGTTGGAGGCGAAGGGACGATGGCTCTGAGCGGACAGGACAGACCACCTCATGCTAGCACATGGCCTGCGCCGCTACAAATCGCGCTGCGTGGGACGTTCCGCGGGGCAAGAGCGAGTCCGCAGATGGCCTATTCCGCAGTTGCATTGTGTAGCGAGGTCGCAGTCTCGAGCTTCTTCCGCCGCACGTAGCCTGTCATCGAAGCAGCGTCTACAACATGCATTGTAGGGAGAGCTTCTGAAGTACAAATATGGTTATGACAAGGTGGAAGTGGGACGCGAAGCTGCAGGCAGACCGCAGTCGGCATTGCGGCAACGCACACAAGACCCGAAAACGCCGAAGTCGCGGTCACATGAATTTGTACGTCGCGCGCCATGAATTGAGTACTTGTCTGCGCGGTGAGCCTCTTCGACTTGGTACTTTACAGCTCCCAAGCGGCAACGTAGATATCATGTAGTAGCGTGTGAGCTACCAGTGAAATTCGTAACTGCTAGAATGTAAAAAATACAATGACGGTCGGTAACTAGAAATGATACAACAAAACCTTGCGCGTGGAGGCCTCCGTAGTAGGTACAAGTACGGGTATATGAATCGCTTGGCATCTATAGGGAAGAAAAAGGGTCTGTCCAAAACGCTGCGCTGAAGGGTCTCTAGAATTTGAATGAGTCTACGAACAAGCTGACGCTGGGGCCACCGCGAAGAACGGAGGCCGGGCCATGTGCGCGTAAAACGCGCTTTACGTCCTTTGCGACGGTATGAGGGCCACATACTACAATGCTCATGAGAAACCGGAGGAGCGGAAACATAAGGATATCACGTACCGTTCACGGCGACAGATCCCTGCGCGCCGGTGATGGCCTGCTCAAGCACATCCTCAACGTTCGGGCGACCGGTGAACCACGACGTCTTGTTAAACGCGGAGAGTCTGTCAGAAGCGCCACCCTTCTTCTCGGCAAAAACTGGCGAGATAGGGCTCATGACAGAAGTCGGGCTAGTCGGGCTCGTCGGCTCAGACATATCGAGCTGCAGGGTCGCGGTAGCAGTAACGTGGATCCGAACGGAAATATGCAGGGCTGGCGGAGCGGTCTCAAGAACCCGAAGAAGGTCGCTGTAGATAAGATTGACTTGATCTGATGATTGCGAGGGTTGAGTATCGGTTATCGGATAAGATAGCCAAGACTTCTTACCAGCGTGGCGGATCGTCCACACGAAGATGATGTTCCGGCAAATGGTAGGATCGGCGCGCGCACGGCTGCATTTGATATCAGTACGACGACCGGCACACGAGCAGGTGGAACTCACTAGACGAGATCAACGAACAGCGAGTTCGTGAACGAGACACCAGAACCATCTGTAGACTTGTTGAGCTGAGGCGCGTATTGCGTGATATGACCACTCACAAGCGAGGAAAACCACCGTGTCGTAGTGCGTGAGGCGCGGTGGGTGTCCATATGGTCCGTCAAACACGATCTTGAGCTTTCCACCGGCCTTGGCAATCTGATCCAACCGACGCGTGAAGCCTTCCTGCTTCTTGATGATGAAGACGAGCTCCTTATCACTACTTTCGCCGGTGGTGACAGACATCGTTGACGAAGATGACGAAGACGTCGACTCGACCGAGTTCTCGATCTTCATCTTTTCCATCGTTGGCGCAGGCGGAGTTGGGACGTCCGCGTTGGCGATGGTGAAGGGGTGCGACTCGAAGGGGAACTTCGACACGGAGGGCATGGTGATGTGCGCGCTCTGACCGGGAGCCCAGTGGAGGTGCGCCGGGCGGCGAAAACGCATGCGGATGAAGCCATCAGCGACGCGCTCAACTGTCGCGTTGCAAGCTACACCGCCACCGGGCATGAGATAGCCGTGGTTGAACGCGAGTATCCGACCCGCGCGAACAACGCGATCGAAGCCCCAGAGAACCCAGGTGGGCCAGATGTAGCGGCCCAATCTGCCGGAAGCGTCAGAACGTTGCCATGCTTCTACAGTATGGAGGGCTCGTACCGATGATCAGCGGCGTGCATGTAAGCGCCCAAAATGAAGAAGCTGAACCCCTGTCAGTCGTTGTCACTGAAAGCATAGCGGAATGACTACTCACAACACCAAGAGGAAATGCGAGACGATGAAGACCTCGTATGCCCTGTGGCGCACAGGCCGCACGAACACGATGCATACAAGCGTGAGAGCGATGGTAGCCGTGAGTGCCCACTGGATCTGAGATTCGGTGACGGCGTTGGGCCCCTCCAAGCTAAAAGATAGGGATTAGATTGGAGGTCGCGGTGACGACACGGGCGCGAGACATACCCTATCTTGATCTGTATCCGTCGTAAGCGCGCAGTTCGAATGTGGAGAAGAAATTTACGCACCCAAGTGCCTGCGTGGAACCAAACCAAAACTAGTAAGGCGCGAGCGGTCGTGCGGTGCATGTAGTTGAGCTTCTCATAACCAATTCCCGTCAACCCTGCGAGGCGTCAGATGGAAAGGGGGCTATGAGGGTGGACGCTTCTTACAGCCAATGATGTTGTTGCGCATCCCGAGGGCGACGATGAGAGGAAGTTGAGCGGCAGCGATAGCACCCGTACGACCACCGTATTGCATCTGACCATTGACCGTAGCTGCATTTACATGAGCAAACAAATATGAACGCAGAATAGTGTAACGCACTGTTGATAAGGGACCAAGTGAAGAGCATGGCCAGGTATGCGAGTGTGACGAAGCCTTCCGCGAGATTGATCGAGTAGTAGGGGCCGAAGGCGATGACGGAGCGGAAGGCGACTACACGCCAGGCGTTGACAGCGGCAGACGGAATGCGGGACCACCCAGACGGGCGAGTGTATGAGCCGCGGTACTCGGCGTCGCGCATCTTGAGCGATCGAGCATGACGTTGACGCCGCCAGGAGCCAATGAAGCCGACAAACCTCCCCAGTATGAGAAGAGCGATGAAGACGAGCACGCCGTACCAGAACTCAGTGGGGTATGTCATGTTGCGGCGGGCGCCTGGCGAGAGTGCATGGCCGCCGTGCGATGTCCCGTTCGTGTGAGCCGTGCTGTTCAACCCGCCGGTGAGGCCGGGAGCGGTTGTGTTACCCTTCGAAGACGACATGCCCGCAGGCTGTTGTAGAATAGGCTGTGGTGGGAGTAGGCTGTTGTGGCCGGAGGGTGAACGGACGACAGATGAGAGTGAAAGGAGGCGGGATTATCTTATACCTTGTTGAATTCTGTAAAGCAGCGGAATGGCGTATGCTCGCCGGGTGTTCGCGAGCAAAAGGGCTAATCATGGAGCACATGCACGGAACCGCGCCGAACATGTTGACGCATTGTCGCAGAGCGGCTCTATACAATGGACCCGCATCGACCGAGGTATGCGATCGACGTTATCAACTTCGCCGGTTACCCGTGTGTGGACAGAAACCCATACAGAGCGGCTCGGATGTACACGTGCTCTGGAAGGCGGCCAGTACAATGACCATGCGGAGGGTATCCTTGGCTCGTCGAGCTCGTACGCACGACCCTCGGTGTTAAAACGGACTGTTCGAAGGCGAAGACGAACCGATATGCAACCGGAGTAAGCGCCACATGATTTCATAGGCTGACACTGCATCGTGTTGGTATGGCCATCGCCGCTTATCTGTACTTGCCATCAGCTCAGCGAAAAGGAAAATGGCGAACGATGAGAACAGGGTTTCCGATTTAGTACAAGACATGATGGAGCGTACAATCTCGACATCTTCACCGCTAGCAATATCCGGGTCTCAATGACCCCCAACTGGCTCCTTAACCAACTGAGACCTAGTTGGGGTTCGATGATGGAGAAGGGCGACGTTCTAGATCTAGAATGGGTTCTCACAGGTCGACAGCAACGCGAGCTCCCACTCCGCTCGACATATGGAAAAAGCATGTAGGGCAGCCATTGGCTCCAGATAAACTGAGATAATCGGCGAAATCAAGGATGTCAACAGTCAGCACTGTGCCACCGCGAAGTCGCCGTCTTCGTCTCTTCTCGACTTGGTACAGTAGACCAGCCCGATTAGGCATCGGAATCCGAGTCGAGGTCGCCGAGATATAAACGAACAAGCGTATGCCGACTTCTGTGACCATGACGCAAATAGAAGTGTATAGAATATCACAAGCAAGTGAATAGCAAGAGATGTCGTGTGATCTATGTCTTCTTGGGCTTCTTGGCTGTATAGAGAGAGTACCCATGAGCTCGAGTCAGAGGACAAGTCAGCGAACGACGTACCTCCGTACCGACTGCGAGCCTTTGCACGGCCCGGTACACCGCCAAAGTCCGCGGCACCACGAACGAGCTTGTACCTAGTATTCTCCGTAAGATAGCCGCCGAGTCGCACAAGGATATATTGAGCGCTTACCGGACACCTGGTAAATCCTGCGTACGTCCTCCGCGAACCACCACCACGCTGTGCTCTTGCAAATTATGGCCTTCTCCGGGTACATATGCCTTGAGGGTCGAGCCCGTGGTAAGCTTGACACGCGCAATCTTACGCTTGGCCGAGTTGGGCTTCTTCGGCTTTGCGATAGCAAGAGACATAATGACACCCTTCCTCTGCGGGTTGCCCTCCAATAATGGCGACTTGGTATTTGTCCTCCTTTTTGGAGATGCACCCGGGCCTTTCCGGCGAATAGCCTGGTTGAGCGTCGCAGACGCTGGCGAAGTCGTGTGGAACGAGTGGGATGAAGCCTGAAGAGCACGTGCACGAAGCAATATTGGTGATGAAGCGTATGAAGTGCCGGTCGTTGGTCGTGTTAGCGCCAGTGACGGACGCGCGACGGCGCGAAGTGTGGACAGCATGCCGTCGAGTTCGTCGTCGGAGACAGCGAGCGCGGAGGCGGCCAGCGCGCGCGAAGCTTGTGATCGGTGATTGCCGATCAAAAACCGTGACCGCGTTTGTCGCGACGCGTCGCGCCTTAGACTCTTACCCGCAACCGCCACCACTGTCCTCTCCTTGCTACCACTACCATGCCTGGACGGAGACGCCGCGCCGCTGCCTTAGCCGATGACATAGAAGAGGCGGATGCCACGCAGAGAGATGACGAGGAAGACGTAGAAATGGACGGCGAAGGCGAGGAGGATGAACCACCTCGACGAGGAAAGAAGGTCGCGCGTTCTCGTAAGACTTTGGACATGGACGACTTCGACCCGGACAACTTCCATGATCAGCCCATTGCCGCTGAAGAAGCTGTAAAACTGCAGCATATGGCGCAGGATTGGGGACAGATGATTTCTCACGTCGAGGCAACCGCCTTTACTCTACTTGATGAAGTCGCTGCTGCTGTCGCAGAGACAGCAGATGAAGGAGACTCGAAGGTGGGAATGGATTGGATTTCCATCTTTACTTACTAATACTGTCCTTAGGAGCTTTCCAGTCTTGACAAGTTAATGAAAGAGCTCATCGACGTTCACCAAGACTTGACTCAACAGCAGGAAACGCTTAAAGAGCTGCATCAACAGGTGGCTCGTGACGAGGAAGACATCGTACTCTTATCTTCCTCCTGATTTGGTGCTGCGCACCTGACTCGATTTCAGACTGATCTTGTTGGCCTGCACGAGCAAGCGGCCAGTGCCAAAGCAGAGGAGTGGGAAAAGAAGACCACGCGGCAGAAGTATGTGAAAAGTAAGGCGTATTTCAACTTCCGTCAAGCTTCATACGTAAGTCCTCGACACCTTACTGCTCTGAGCTATTCTGATTGTCTTTTATAGGAGGTCCTCCATCCTGATGTCGGTATGCCGCCACTGGCCGAGCTCATTCCAGCCGGTGTGTTGACTATCAGGTGTACTATTTGCTGCCTCTGACAATCTTCCAGAGCCAGGAGACGCCGATGATGACGATGACGATGAAGATATTCAAGTCGGCGGTGTGGTACAAGACCTCAAGTGTCCAATCTCGCTAACGCTCATGGTCGAACCATACACTTCGTACGAATTTTTCCTGTCCTCCCGCCCGACTCAGGTACTGATACACACTATAGTAAGGTCTGCCAACATTCATACTCGAAGGCCGCTATCTGGGACTACCTTGGTCAGAACGAGAGCGTGTTGTCGAAGAAACCTTGTCCTTCTTGCAACAAGATGATCTGCAAGAACGATCTGTTCCTCAATAAGGACCTCGAAGCAAAGATCAAACGACAACGCCGCAGGCAACAGCGCGACGAAGATAGCGACGAGGGAGAGGAGATCATTGAGTAGACGCACGACTGTCCTGATTTCTCTCTTGTTTTGTCATTGTACATTCGTCTTGTCAGTAACTTATAGCGAGGTAATACCACCGGCTGACCTGTACGCCGCCTGGCTTCTCTATTCCTGTGACTTGAATTCTGGATCCGAAACGTATAGGCCAAGAATGGACAGACCGAGCACAACTTCATCCGTATTCTGCTCACTTGTCTCGCTTCTGGTGCGGTGCCCATGGACGCCGGCGGCGCGCGCTTGTCGAACGTTGGAATGCCCGTTGAGTGCCCGGCTTACCCTTGCGGCACCCTGCGCCAGAACGCACATTGCACCTCGCGTTCTCTTCCTTGACTCCGAGTCGCGAACGACAGACTCTACCCACAACTCAGAATCGGGGTCGGATGCTGGATGCTCGGATATATCTCGCGATGCAATGTGCATGCGTGAGATCGGTCGTAGAAGTTTACGGAGCAAGCTTGAAGGCTGTCTATTCCCGTCTTCAGCATGGTCCATGACAACTTGCGCGCTCTCTCGCTACGAGCGAGAGCGTGGTTGCTCTTGGCGCTGTACAGCCTCTACCATCTGAGGTTATGCGCTTGCAATTGCACGCGGCTCACTGCCGACCGTTGCGAGCTGTACGGCTGCAAAGCGTCCCAATGCGCTCTAGGTGGTGTGGCGTCTGCACCATGCGCTTGCCTAGTCTAATCTTGGACACAGCCTTGCTTCTAGGGGATGTATTTGCGGCGACGTTCGTCGATCCTATTCGCGTCGATGAGAACGGTCGCTAAGAGGCAAGCCTGTGCTCGACTCGCCCGCTGTATATTGAGCAAGGCAATTATAGAGCGAGTTAGTCCATAGTTGTAGAAGGTTCACACGATGTATGCAGAGAAATACAAGTTCTTCATGATGTCTATTAAGGGTGCTTTTGGTACATTGAGTCTACAGTGCCAACAGGCGGCTTCGTTTGTATAGTACAGGGAGCAGGGGGTTGGCTTCTATCTATGTCATGTCCATCCGATCAAAGCGTTAAAGAGATTACAGGTACTCGGAGACGTAGGCGTTGGTCTTGCCACTCAGCTCAGCCTGGCGCTGGAGAGCCTCAGGCGCGTCGAACTTGTCCATGATGACCTCGACGAGCTGCATGCGCTCGGCCTTGTTGAACTCGGGGTCGTCGAGGAGAGCGTCGAGCTCGGCCTTCGTCGACACGCGGTACGACTTGGGCTTGGGCTCGACGTGCGGGCCGAGGACGTCGAGGATACCAGTCCAGTTCCTGTGATGCTGTGAGTAAACTGAGCTGAATCATCGGAGAAGGGCGCTGCTCACCATGAGGAGATGTCGTTGTACTTCGCCTCCTTGCCGTGCAGGTAACGCTCGATCGTGTACCCGTCGTTATTGAGCACGAAGATGATGGGGTGCAAGTCGCGGCGCATCATCGTCGCGAGCTCCTGGACGGTGAGCTGGATAGATCCGTCACCGGTGAAGAGGATCGTGCGGCCCATATTCGTCTCGCGCGCAGCAAGCGCGGCACCGAGCGTCGAACCAGTGGCGTAACCGATGGAACCCCACAAGATTTGCGCGACAAGAATGGAATCCGCTGGTAGTGGGACGTCGAGGATACCGAAAGAGGATGTTCCGGTCTCTGCGGCGATGATATCCTTCGACCTGAAGAACTTGGAGACACGCGGCCAGAGGTAGAGGTGCGAGATGACGTCGGGTCCGAGAGGGTCGGCGCCAGGTGCGGGCAGCTGGGAGAAGGAGGGCTTGACGGCGGTCGACTTGGCAGCCGAGTGGACGGACTTGAGGGCAGCGGTGAGCTTGGGGAACAAAGACTTCATGCCCATGTCCTGGTAGAAAGCATACTGGATGCGCGTGTGGTCGGAGTGCAGCTGTGCCCAAAGGTTCAGTACAGGGTTCGGTATGCCAATCAAGAAGGTGCGTACCTCGACAGTCTTGACCGGCTCGATGCGGTAGGTAAAGTTACCCGTGTTGAAGTCGGACTTGACACCGCCGACGGAGATGATGAGTTTCGCGCTCTCAACCGCCTCCTTGGTGTCGGGATGTGAGATTGATCCGATGTAGATCTGTCGATTAGATGAGCGGATCTGATCGCGACAACATTCCGAGCGAAAGTACGTACACCACCGTAACGCTCGTAGTCCTCGGGAACGACGCTCTTGCCCATCGGCGCAGCATAGACGGGGAAGTTGGTCTCCTTGACGAACTCCTTGAGCTCGGCCTCAACGTCATGACGGACGGCGCATGCGTCGACGAGAACGACAACGTCCTCGCCGGCCTCCTTGACGAGCTTCGTGATCTCGCCAATGGCAAAGTCCTCAACCTCTGGCTCGGCAGCGGGAGGGTTTGGCTTCAAAGGAGTCTCGAGTGCGGCCTTGGCAGAGTCGGCGGGAGAGAAGGCGAGATCAGTCGGAAGCATGATGTAGACGGGGCGAGCAGCCGTGATGCAGGCCTGAAGGACACGGTCGATCTCAGCAGGAGCGCTAGCGGCATCCTGTAGTGATGCGTGTGCGACAGTGAACTGCTGAGCAGCCTTGTAGTACGCATCGTAGCTATATCGGTGTCAGGTTGAGCGCAAGGACCATAGAATGACCGCACGTACCGCCCATCACCGAGTGTGTGGTGCAGCATCGGCTTGTTCCTCTGCTGAGAGGTACTGGGGACACCGACGATGTGGACGATCGGAATGTGCTCGGAGAACGCTGCGAACACTATGAGCAGACTCCTTTTGCAGATCGCTGCTCAGCTACTCACCGCCAGCAATACCGTTGATCGCGCTCAACTCGCCGACACCGAAAGTGGTAATGAGGGCGCCGACACTACCCTTTTTGACGCGGGCGTAGCCATCAGCGGCGTAGGAGGCGTTCAGCTCATTACAGTTGCCGATCCAGTCAAGATGCGGGTGGCTCTCGACGAAGTCCTAAGATCGGGAGCGGTGTAAGCAGTAGTACGATAACTGTATAAGGAAGATCGTACAAGGAAGCCGAGGTTGAAGTCTCCGGGGACACCGAACACGCTCTGCCCAAATGTTAGTAGAACTCCCAATATAGATCATCGACATCTTATCGCACCTTGACACCGATTTGGACGAGACGCTCAAGCAGGTACTCGCCTACGGTGAAGTGCTTGCCCATGATAGTAGTGATAGTACTTTTGAAAGTGCTGAGGAGGTTGGATGCAGGCCCTGCGTCAGCTGGGACGGGTTTATATACATCGCTTCCGCCAATCTTCGACATTCGAACCAAACGCGGAGGCCGAGTCCTCGGGGCGATACGGACGCCGCGCCGGACCATATTCGTGCTCCTAGAGCCGTCCACGTTGGCCGAGGCAGGCCGTTCCGCCACTCAGATCCCTCGAGGCCATACAGTGCATTGTGGACACAGCCCGACGCGTGTGTATGCCGTCAAGCGGCTCGCCGTCGACGCTCCAGGCAGCCTCGGAGATGACTCTTGAGTCGAGAGCAGCCGTGGTCGCGTCGCGAAACTAGACCGCGAATGGCCGCTTCGTTCAACATGATGACGCGTTCTTGCTGACTACCACCTCTCAGCCGCCTCTCTGTATGGGCGGCAAAGCTGTAGGTGTGACTGGTGGCGTACATCGAGCCCATCGATATGAAGTCGCAGCCATTCAACGAACGGTCGATGCGGGAGACGAGTTGACACGCGGCACCCGACCGGTTCCGCTTGTCAAAATTTCTGCAGAACGGCTACTTCAGGAAGGCGAGGGCAGGCCGCCTTCAGCGCATTGACCGGGCGGGCGGTGACTGTGCACATCAGAACCGCATGCATGATCCTTTCCGAGGTCGAGGACGACACAAGATGCGAATGAGCATACGGTACACAGAAATATTTTATTGTTAATCGAATGGTTACAGGTGTTGACGCGTATGTACACAACATTACGGACGAAGTATTCGCCATTGAATCGCTTGCCCTCTTTGTGCTCGGGATTTCGCCATGGTCGCAATTTGGTCATCCAGATATTCATGGTTATCCTGTATCGCGATCGTTTGGAACATTGTAAGCTCCGGGAAGAGTGAGGATGCCGACGCGTCGACGGTGTCACTCTGCGCCATGAGCTCAACCAAACGCGATGCCGTCCTGACTCCGCGGACGGACAACGTAGATACGGAGGTGAATGGCAAGATGCACCTCCGCAGGCTCTCCGACGGGCAGGCGTCCAGCCATACGGTGAGGTGTTTGACGCGCGATGCGGCACCGGGATCCACGACGGTTGGCACAATGATCTCGAGTACATCCGCTGGACTCAGATTCTCCTGGTCCTCCTCTCCTTCTGTGGCCCACCGCTGCTCCCAATCGGCCGTGACCCGAAAGTGGAACGGACCGTCCTCCGCATCGGGTGTGCGCGAGAGGCAGAGAGTCAGAGTTGACTTGGACTCGTCGTGTATGATGCTCGCCGTCACGAAGTTATCGCGCAGATCGCTGTTTCGGGATGGAGCGAGTCCGGGGACCCATTGTGAGAGCCGTGCAAGGACGGGCTTGATCTCTGCTATGAACTTGAAGCAAGTGAGGTCGACTGAGCGTACGTTCGGGGCAGTGATGCGGCTCAATAGCTCCATGACACCGCGCGTACGACCGTGCAACGTCAGGGTCTTGAGATGCGAGAAGGCGACGTCCTCGATATCGAGAGCCGTCTCGGCTTCCTCGGAGATGAGGACAGGTATGTTTCGCAGGTTTAGTGTTTCTATGCTGCGTAACATTCGTAGGCCATTCAGGAGGCTGGCGAAGGACGCAGGGCGCATGTGCGCGAAGACCAGACGAAGACGCGTGAGGTTGCGCACGCCATCGTGCTGCCAAGGCATACTAGTCGGGTCAAAGGCCAGCAGATCCAGCTCGCGAAGGCGTGTGGAGGGCGATTGGTCTGAAAGACGTAAAGGATATGTGGGGACGCGCAGAAGCACCAGGCTTTCCAGGGACTTCGCGTCGGGCATAAACTCTGAGAATATATCGAGCGTAGGAGGGCCTCCTCTGACAGATAGGTTCAGCGTCCGAATCCTTGGCAAGGCTTTAGAGTATATGTCGTGAAGCTTAAGACCTCGGCTTTGGTCGTGTAGTCCCCAATCCACGCGGTGGTAGTAGTTGAGCGGCAAGTCCTGGCTACGCGCCAAGAATGTCTGTAGCCACTTCACGTCGGGGTACGGGTATCCCGCATCGCTTATGAACGTCCATAAGTCTGGCATGGAGATGATGATCTCGCGCAGAGTGCGGCAAACATGCGTGAGGGAGATGAATCCCAGCTTAGTATCGGTGCAGAGCGTGCAGTTCCTGCCTTTCGCAGGGCATTCGGAGAAGGGGTGTGGCTGCTGGCTCGTATCGACCTTCTTCGAGTCGTCCTCTAGTCGCTTGAAGGGATTCATAGGCTGCTGCCAGAGCGCGTGCGGCCATACCCGAGCAGTCTCCGTCACGATGTTGACGAGTAATTCTGTGGGTAGGTCCACTAGAGCAACCATAACGCGTTATCCCTCAACGAGGATTCCGATAGTCGTGCACAAGAGTGTCACTATATGTAGCATGAAAGCCAACCCAGGAAACCGCACTGAGAGAATATGAGTCGTGACGGTGATGGTGGTGTATATGCAAAAACGCGGGTCGGACTCGCGGGATCCGGACGAGTCGCCCGGCGTGCGGCCGGTGATGCGCTTCTTGCAACTGCATCACTGGCGCAGGACGTCTTGTACGGCGACTATCATGATGATTGTGCGGGACGTTTCCACTCCCTCGGAATTGTGCTGTTGAGGTAGTCCATACTGCTTGATGACTTTGTTCAGGGGATCCATGAGATGGACACAAAAGCTTATGATGGTTCGTGGCTACATCAACGGATAACGAACACGACGGCGGTTGCCCGAAATGTGAGACAGCGCGACCACGGATTCTCGTGACGCGGCGCGTCGCATATTAGGTTTGACCCAAACCTCCTACGTCCAACTGGTGCCCTTCTGGCCATCGCTGGGCCGCGCAAGTCGGAAGCAACGGTAATGGGCGATGCCGGTGCGCCGCAGCTATAAATAGAGTACATACGGTCATCCAACACAGAACCACATAAATACGATCGTCCAGTTACATCGATGATCGCTGACCGAAGCTAGAGACTTTCTACATGTCATCCGAGATATGTCCTTCCTGGGCCTGAACATTCTTCAGAAGATGGCGCACGCGACTCCCGTGAAGGTATAGGTAGTGCCGCATGCGGTCGAAGGTGTGCTTTTGGCAACTAGCAAGATCCACAAGCCTCCAAGGCGAAGATATTTGCTCCTGGCTTGTAGGCCTGTGAGGTACGGGAACACCTGAAGGGACGACCCTCAGAATATTGTCGTATCGGATATCATTGTGGTGTACGAAGCGGTGGCTGAGCTCTAAAAAGAGGCAATAGATGGCATGACTGTGTACAACATCAGCGCCAGTCTATGCATCACAACGGGAGGGACACATACCTATTGTCATCTCGAAACTGAGTGTGCAGCTCCAGATGCTCACCAGACAACTTCTCTAAGAGCAAGACACCGATACGTCCCGGAATTGTGCCTCTATCCGCGCCGTTATCCCATGTAGGAAACCTCGAACGGTGATCTGAGATACGGAGCCTCGTCGACAGAGAGAGGGTCTTCTCGAAGTAGCCGAAGCACTTCGGGATGACTACCCCCTGAATATCTTGTAAGTCATCATAGAACCACGCTTCAGAGGATAGGGCTGCGCGCTCAGAGGGGAACGCTATCTTGACGCACAGAGGTACATCAACCCCTTCAAGCGAGGTGACTGCGTGCACTACTCCAGTCGCCCCACTTCCCAGTAACTCGCCGAGCTCTAGGTGAAGCTCGCATCTCCCGGTCTTCGGCGGCAGCTTGGGGTTCTCAGGGATGATACCGTTGACGATAGCTTCGTCCACGTTCCCGGGAAACGTGAGCAAGGTAGACGAGGGTATGTCCCGCGAGAATGGAGACTTTTGCAAGACTATTGAGTCGTCCTCGGCCAATCCGCGCAGGTGAATTGTCTCGACAGAGTCTGTTTCCAAGTCCTGTCAGATTATCAGCAGCGCATCCTGGAGGTAAGCTGTATGTGGATACCGTACAGGGTAGTCATGCACCATTTCAGCACGTAGTACGGCGTAGACGCCTGCCGCGGTGATGAACTGGGGCAGAGAACTAACAGCCAACATCGTTTATGCCATAAAGCCACGGCCACGTTGTGTTCGGGATTGATCGTCGTTCACAGCAGAAAAAGACGGCGACGTGGCACGTGGAGCATTTGGTGTAGTGATAGGTAGAGCTTCGTACGGTATCTGAGTTGAGGCTGTTGAGGTCGAGGTTGAGTGCAAGGAGTGCAATGTTGATCCGAGGCGGATCACCCCCAAGGCGGGAGGCTCCGGATGCCCCGAGCCAGCGGCAAGCATCATCGTTTGCGCGCTCACTGCCCACTGGAAAGCAAGCCCATGTAGATGGAGTCGACCTCAGAGTAGAGCACGTGCGATTGTGCCGCAGGCCTCTGCTACTGGCCGTCGCCACGTCAGCCAGCGCCGGCACATCGTTGACCGTCTTCCCGAGACTCTGCGCCTGCTTGAATTGCGACACCATGCGCTTCCCCTAATCCTCTCACAAACACTTATCTACTGACCTACAAAGTCGTCTTCATCCAACCATCTGGAACCGCTGGGCCATGCGTCAAGATCCACAGGATCTCGATACGCGCTGTGTGGACCAAAGAAAGCTTGATTGCTTTCTCTATAGCATTTGTTCGCCATGGAGCAACGCCATACATTATCTAGCTCAAAGTATTATGTGGGTTGTGATTATGAGCGGGTGTATCGTAAGATGAGATTACTTCGACATAGAATACGCCCGATCGCTCATTCACGGACCTCCCATCGAATCGTCTGTCCAAGCCGTGCACGAGCATTCACCATCTTCCCTATGGCCTTGTCCAACGCCTTGTGCTTCGCGCTTGAAGGCCAAACAATCATCGTTGCCAATGCTGGGAAGAGCCTGGAAGTTCCAGTACGAGAGCCACGCTGCCCCGCCATAGACTCGATGACGCGCGCCGCCGACTTCATTATGATCAACTCAGAGACAACGGCGAAGCGCGCCAAACATTGTCGTAGGCCCAGCGTCGTGCATTCGTCCAGTTTGAGAATGAGGCTTTGGATTCGTGGAGCGGCCAGAGAGTCCATGAGGGTGGGGACGAAAGTCTCAAGCACGTCCATCGCGGCTAAGTCGACCGGATCCTCGCCATCTTCCACCGCCCAGTCGGCCGTGATGCGGAAGGTGTATGGGCCAAACCCTCCTGCGCTGGTCCCAACTGAGCGGGACAGTCCCAGCGTGAACGAATAGTCGGAATCGTCATGGGTGATGCTCGCTGTATGGAATATGTCATCAGGTGTACTGGAGGATGCGAGTCCTGGAACCCATTGTACGAGCATCTCGAAAGAAGCTTTAGCGTCGAGGGTGAAATGGAAGTAGACGATGTCGACCGTGCGTACAGCGGGTGCACATATGCATTGGATGAAAGCAGTGATGCTGCGTGATTGGCCGTTCAATGAAAGATTGCCGAGGGCGGGCCAGTCGACTGGATTCGTACGATGATCGATGGTAAATCCTTCGGGAGCGTCGGGGATGTCTGGCACTCCGACTAGGAAGAGGCTCTCAAGGGCCCGAAGCATCGATAACCCTTCCAAAAATTCCAGGAAGGAGGCACGGCTGATCTCATCGGTATCGGGGGCGAAGCCGAGCTTCAGGCTCGTGAGATTGCGCACGGCGTCGTGATGCCATGGCATCGCATCCGGGATGAAGTTGAGAAGTGCAAGCTCCTGCGGGAATGCGGAGGTCGGAAGAAAAACGGGATTGAATGGCGAGACGGGGTCGCGTCTCAAGACGAGGGATTGCAGCGACTGGGCACCATCGAGAATGTCCGGTGAGATGGCGTCAGGCGAAGGCCACCCTTCGATCTGGAGGTATAGCGTACGGATCCGAGGTAACGCTTGGTCGAATAGTTCGTGAAGCCCAAAATCCTCGTTTTCCTCATAGTCGTCCCATTCAATGTGATGGGTGTACTGAAGAGGAAGGGCCCGGCTACGCGACAAGAACGTGTCGATCCAGAATATAGTTGATTCGGGGTGTAATAGATCGAGCGAATGAGAAGATAACCATGATCTCCATGGGCTTGGTCGTGGTGAGTCGTTGATGGTAGTCCAAAGCCGGGGGGTTCCAATGGTCACGGCGCGAAGTGCGCGCGAGACGTGCGACAGTGCGATGAATCCCAGTCTGCTGTGTGTGCAGTATTCGCAAAGATTGTCGGTAAGGTCGTGGGCGTCCTTCCAGTAGTGCAGTTCCTCGGGCCCTCTGGCTGCAAGGCAGTCATCTTCCAGCCGTTTGAAGCAGGTAGAAGGTGTTTCCCATAGTAAATGCGGCCAAATTCGGGCGGTTTCGACCACGATAGCGCTGAGGAGTTCCGGAGGAAGGTCGGTCAATATCCGCATGGTATAGAGCGCCTGCAGGTCTCAGAATGCGGCGTATAGCCACGCGGGCGACGACAGTGTCGATGATGATTGTTGAAGCCAAGACGCGGGACGACCGTCGGCTAGCGTTGGGCTAGCGAAGCTCAAACATTGAAACAAAGTTTGAACATGGTGTGGAGAATTTGATGGCATCAATCATCTTCGGCAGCGTCCGCTATAGCATATACCACTGGTACAGGGTGAACATGCGCCCTCTCAACATTCTCCTCAGGCTCAGATAAGATCAGTGAGCTTAAGCGCGCGAACGTCTGCTAATCGCGGGGTCGGTTTTTCCTGAGCCCGGACCGGTATGAGTAGTATGGATAACCATTACTTATACGTAGATGTAAGGGTTTTGGGTCTAGGTTGATGTCGGCTGCGAAGGATCTGTATCGAAGGGCGTGACGCTTATCAAAAAGGTAGTGAGCGTGCGGGAGTGAAGAGTCAAGACGCGCGCGCTGCGCGTCGAGTCACCTCGGGCTGGCCTCAGGGACCCTTCCCACGACCGAACCGCGCATCTACGCGACGTCGAGCTGCCCTATCACGAACCTAGGTTTCGTCCGTCTCAGTACTGTTAGACTTATGCTAAAAGGTGACTATGTACCTACTGGAGCTCGCTAGAATACTGACCTGAACTCCATCTAACAAGGACTATTTTCCCCTAGCGCTGGCACGCTTTCTGTGACGTTTTATGATCTTGTATCCCATTAGATCGAGTGTAGAGGCCCCAACAATCCGAGCTCACTAGTGTCCTTCTCTTTTCTCTACCTGACCATGCGTGCGATGTACCTACCATGGTACAATACACGCCCTTGATAGGCACTTAACGCGAAGATCTTACACCGATCTCTCAAAACTTCGATAACAGAGCCACAATAATATATTGCTACGAGTTGCGGACACAGGTGGGTATGCAAATGAGCGCTGCGACTTGTATGATATCCTGCATGTGCACGCATGTACGACTTCTTGTTTTGACACTGGACGATGTATGCTCTATGCCCGAGTGTCATCGGACCTCATCGTTCGACTGACCTGCTTGAGCGAGTATCCTCACGCAGCCGAACGAGTCCACTACGTCATCCGCGCCGCCACAACGAGTCTCGACCGCCCAGTCTTGGCACCGAACGTCGAACTCAAACAGTATAATCGAAAAGATACACTCACAGGCCTGAGACCCAGAGATGGGGATCTGAGTTTGAGTTTGTCTGAACGACATGGGCCCATTCGACTCGCCCAGCGCTAACCCGTTATAGTATCACTTATAATAACTTCCTGCTGTGCTGCCTGACGGCGTTTGCCGGCGTTAATGCACATGCAGGAAGAAGCCCAGTCTAATCGCCTTTGGGATCTTCGACATGAGATGTACGCGTTGTGTGCAATGTCTTGATAGCGTCTGGGAGGGAGAAGCGGTCTAGATCCTACAGGAACGACTGCAAGTAAAGCCCAAGCACACATCGCGTGCAGAACTGGCCGAGGAGCTAGGACACTCAATGTCACCCGAGCCGCACGTTTCGTCAAGGGCACACAAAGAGACGGGAGGCACACGAGGAACCCGACGGGCCACAGTACTACATAATCAAATCCAATCTCCAATCTCCAATCGTCCAATCTCCGCGCCGAGAGACGACGCGGAGAAGACGGACGGCCGCGAATGTGTTGGGAGGGGCGGGGAGGAGGGAAGAAGCCCGGTCGTGGCGTAGGGTGGATTTGGAAGATCGGATCTGAGTGTGCAGGCACTCAGGACTGGGTATATTGCGCGCGGCAGTCCCCGCCCAGCGCTCGAGCGTACTCGCCGAGTCGCTGTGCAGTCCTGCGGCGTGCGGATATTCGTATCTGAGAATAGTAAGCAGATAAAGGGCCCTAACGACGGGCCAGCCCCAATACACATGTACAAGCAGAGCCCATTCTGACAACGACATGCGGATTCTCGGACGAGTAGGAGTGTGCCACAGCCCGGCCGGGGGGAAAGTTGCGGGATGGGGTTCGATGGCACGGTCAAAGGGGTTCGATGGCACGGTCAAAGCCTGTTTGGTCAGAGGATCAAGAGTGTGTTCACATCGCCGTTTCCTCGCGCGTTTGTGCAGTGAATGGATTGGGCTTCTTTGGCTTTGCTTCGCTGGTTCGGGTTTCGGGGCGCGCGTGACTGCTGTCACAGGACGTACGCGAGACGGACAGCTGTATGGGCGACTCGAGGGTGTTTGAGCCAAAGTGGTCAGGGCAGTGCGCGTTGATGCACATTATATTCTTGGGGGTATTGAAGGATGCGTATATTCATTGACATGAAATATATGGAGAGGACGGTGCAGATGGTGGCAAGAGACAAGAGACGAGAGAGATCGGTGCTATTCGGCCTCTGCGGCGTCGGTGGAGCGGGCGATGACGAAAGTGTGTCACCCACAAGCGTCCACAGCTCATGATGGATCTCTAAGCGAGCCTGGCAACGTACAGCTCACGACAGCCAGCCTGATGAGCCTGAAGTCGTAATGTACATACATGCTGAGAGAGCGCGCGGGCGATAAAAGGCAAGTGTGCCGTGACCAGGCGCATGTCGAGAGTTCTCCATACATTCGTCGGACTTTGGAGCCTGGTGTCGCGCGGCGGGCCCCGCGGCGGCTCTCTCCTTCTGACACCCTCCATCCACTTGTTTACTCCCTTGTCGCATACCCCGATGACTCAGGCCGCGCTGCCCGTCGAGATCCTCGTCGATATATTCCTGTACTGCGCCCACGCCGACGCGGTCGCCTGCGTGCGCATCGGCCACGTCTGCGCGCGCTGGCGCGCCATCCTCGCGCACGCGCCCCGCCTCTTCCAGCTCGTCGTCCTCGACGACGACGCGCACCCGCCCGCGCGCGCGCGCGCCCTCGCGCAGCACTTCCTGGCCCACTCCGCCGGGCTGCCCTTTGACGTGCACGCGACGCTGCACGCGCACGACAGCCTCCTGGCGCTCCTCAGCCCCTTCCTGTCCGCGCTCCCGCGCTGGCGCACATGCACGCTCGCCGGCACACGTGAAGAAGTAATCCACTTTGGCGATATCTGGTCGCCCGACGCCGGCGCGCCCGAGCTCGACGCGTTGAAGCTGAATCTATTCGACCCCGCATCGATGTCCCCGCCGGCAACCGCCACCGTCCTCGCGCCACCCCCCGCGCCCGCGCCCCCCGCAGACGCAGACCCAGCACCCGAACCCGAGCCCGAACCGGAAATCGCCGCGAACGACCCGGACAACACCCTCGTCGAGCTCTCCGACGCCGAAGACGACGACGAGCCCCCGGCGCCCGCGCCGACGTTCCGGCAGGCGACGACCCCATTAACCTCGAACCTGCTCTACATGGAGCTCACGTCCACCTCCCTCCCGCGCCCGCACGCGCTCTCCCCCTTATTCTTCGCCAGCCTCGAGATCAAAGAGACGTCCGCGGCGAACGGCGGGCTGGGGGGCACGGCCGACCCCGCGGCGCTCCTCCGCATGCTCACCGCGTGCCCCGCCCTCGAGTTCTTCTCGTACGCCGGCACGATGGCCTCCCCGCCCCCGCGGCTCAAAGGCGAGATTGCCCCGCCGGTGGCGGTGCTCCCGCGCCTCCGGAGCCTGGTGTTGCACGGCACGCTGTGCGCGCGGATATTGCTGAGCTTCATCGACGCGCCCGCGCTGAGGGAGCTCTACCTCGAGTTCCTGAACGTGGACTGGCGCTTCGACGTGCGCAATCCGTATCTGAGGCGGAGGAGGAGGAGGCGGGGAAGGAGGTGGAGTGTGAGCGTCAGCGCGAGCGAGGACGGGGACGGGCGCGCGAGCAGCCATAGTCATGCGAGCGAGCACCCGAGTCCGCCGAGCTCTGCCACGAGCTGCTCGCCGTGCGCGTCGCCGGCGCCTGCGCCGGATGTGGGTGAATCGAGTTCAATGACGAACGCCAACGCGCCGATACCGCTCGCGCTGCAGATTCCGGCGTACGACGAGATCTTCGACGTGCCGGAGTCGTACGAGGCGGGCCCGTCGACGTCGCCGGCTTTGAACGGGGATATGGGCACGGCGATCGGCCCGCGCTTCCGCGCATCCATGTACACCGACTCCCTCTCCCTCTCCGCCTCCTCCCTCTCCCTCCCGCCCTCCCCCTTAGAC